GGGGACGCCTTTACTGCCTTGCACAGTTGTAAGGAAAATGAGTATCCAGATTGGAATGGAGCAGTGCAGCCACACAAACAGGAAAAGGCCATTATGTGTATGTTGCGTTCTCTTCTGTGTAGCGTATAAAGAGACATTTAGGACAAACAAACAAACAAGAGAAAACAACTTCCAGCTTATTGATACTCAGCACCATCACACTCCGCACCCACTCCATCTGAGCACTCTGGAAAAACTTTGTCCATTCAGGTAACAGGAAGCATGTGACTACCTCCCAGAATGCAGTGCAGGGTCTGAGCAGAATAAGAAATGTGACATTTGAACTTAAAGCTGAACTCCAGACAAACATTAAAACGCAAGTAAAATACATATAGGATACCTGTTTTTTCCCACCAAAGGTTTTTTTTTTTTTTTTTGTATTTCTGCTTAACCAATTTTTTAGATTTCACAAAGATTTGCCACACAGTACAGTCCTGCCTTGCAGGACAAAAGACCTCATTTGTATTTTCTGCAACTTCACTTTTAATTACATGTCCAGTCCCCACTCCCACCCTCGCCCTGTGACTAGGCGGTAATGGGAGAAGCAGCACACCGATGAGCTTATCTCTGTCACTCTGCTCTCTCCCTTCCTACCGGCATGCTTTTTGATCTGCAAGGCACCTGATTGGCTACTTGTGCTGCGTATCCCTCCTTTCTGGGCACTGATCAACAGTAGGCTGCAAATTCAGGTACCTACACAGTTTACGGTAAAATATATACAGTATATGACGTTTTAATGATTACTGTATTGTACTGCTTAGTGTATTTTATATCTGCCTGGAGTTCAGTTTTAAGTGTGATGCTAGTTTGTACTCTAATTGAGACGTCTGCAGCTTTATTTTGTAATCGTTTGTTGTATCTTCAATTAATTTTTGATACTTAGATGTTTTTTTTTTTCTTGTGCTTATTGAACTGAAAGAAAATGTTGTGAATTAAACAGTAATGAGGTACAAGAACTGCAAAAGCAATATGTAAGAATATATTTTATGAAGTCTGTGCAATTACGGTCTCTATTGCCCTACAGCTACAGTTGTGGTTTTATGATGACTGCATCTGCTGGTATATACTGTTATGAGTATTTCTATTGCCTCCACAATCAGCTTCAGTGTGGAAAGTTCAGCTCTGTCTGATATGGCCACAAGTATGTAGATTCAAATCTGACTGCAGGGTATGGTCATGTGTCTTATCTCTTACATATGTGGGAATCTTGTGTTCTACATGTCCATTTACAAGCATGAGCAAGCTATATGTATAAAGTGATCCTGGTATGAATGTTGTTGTGCAGGTGCTTCGTGTTATGGGTTGAAAACGCTCTAGCCCTATCGTTTCTGAAGGCCACCTGCACTCAAGTTATCACAACCTCGTAATAT